AATGGGGTCATTAAGCGACGCATTGGCTTGGTCATGCCAGTGCACCCCATTTTCTGTGGCCTTTTGCAATTTGCTACGCTGAGCACCAATTTCACGTGTGGCCCCGTGTCTCATGCCCACAGGTTACGCCAACCACCTCTAGACTGGGTCTCCTGGTGTTGTGGCTGCGTTTCGTGTCTGGGGGTGTCTTGATCACGTCTGCGCTCCTCGCGCGGACAAGCTCTCTGGTCGCCCAATCCCCATTGTTTTCCCCAATCCCCTTTGACGCTCTTGGCTGGCTTTTCTACCACCACTCGTCCCACCAGTTCTTTAGATCCTAGGACGTCACCTTTGACGAGCATGTGTGTTTTGGAGAGTGGTGGATCAGCGGGTAGTGGAAAGCCGGGACTTAGTTTTCCACGAGGGGCTGAGCTACAAGGGGTGGAAGGAGCATGGTGCTAGTATGTTTGGGAGTTCCATCGAGGATCCCTTCACCGCTTCCATTTGTGAGGGGCATCGGAGGACCATGGAGAGGAGGTAGAGGAGTAGCAAGAGGAACAGAAGGCAGCTACACCTCACCATAAGGAGCCCCCAACTACTACTTCCACCACTGACCCTAACGCACCAGCCCATGACCTGCACCAGCCACAAGGGCAGCAGCAACAACAAGAGAAGCCGCAGCAGCTACCACAACAGCATACACCGCCTGTTCTTGTGGGTAGGTGGCAGCAACTACTATAGCAGGAGCTGTCAAGTCACCATGGTCCCCCATGAAGAGGGTGACATGGAAAAAGAAGCTGCAAAATCTGGAGCAAGGAAGGGCATCGCCTCTTTGCCGCAGTACACGTATCTTCCGGCTACTTGAAAGGTTTACACCAAATGCGCAGTATGCTTGCCTGCTTGTGGATGCGAATGGGGGTGAGCATGGTCTTGATTTCTGTCTTATGGACAGGTGCATTAGCCTAAGTCGGTTAAAGAGGTCTTGTCCCGTCCTGAGTGGGTCGAGTCCATGTGTGAGGAGCTTGAGTCCCACGAAGTGAATGAGTCCTTTGAGTTGGTTGATCCAGCTAGTGTGCCACCTAGAATGGAGGTCTTGGTGTGTCTCGGGTTTGTGAATTACGTCCGCTGGTTTGTACCGAAAATGGCCGGGGTAACCAACCCGTTAACCAAACTTTTCCTCAAGGACGTTTCTTTCATCGGGAGAGAGAGCATTCGACCTTCGACTAGCTCAAAAACATTTTTTGAGCTCACCTTCGGCACTTCGGCTCGTAGACCCATCTCAACCGTTCGAAGTCGTAACAGACGCAAGTGATTTTGCCATCGGCAGTGTCGTTCTACAGGATTTCGGCAAAGGGCTCCAACCCATCGCTAACGAGTCACGCAAAATGTAGCTACCCGAGCAGAACTACCAAGTCCACAACATAGAAATGCTGTCCATTGTCCATGCACTTCGTACCTCTCGCTGCTACCTGACAGGAGCCGACATGACGATTTGGACGGACCACAAGTCATTAGAGTACTGCGGGCCCAGCCGCAACTCAACTCGCGACAAATCAGATTGTACGATAACCTGGAGTCCAGCTTTCCCTACATCATCACGTACAAAAAGGGTGCCAACAACATCGCCAACGCCCTGACCGAACCATCGATGCTGATCGCCGCAATAATCATCAACCAGTCCAACCCACTATTATTGGGACCATGCTCCCACGGGTATAGGGCTGATAATGTTTTAAGCATGACCACGGGTACGGCTCGACGTGCTGTTGGATGTGCAGCGCTACTTGACAACAAGTAACGATGGATTTCTTTGTGGAACTGCTAGCAGGCGCAAGTGGCAACGACTCAGTGCTGGTCGTCATTGACCGCTTAAGAAAATGGGACACCTCGCACAATGCGGCACGACGATCATCTTCGCCATTGTTCGCCTACACGTGTGACCTTCGGTGATCTTCAACGATCGTGACCCGAAATTCATGTCGAAGTTCTAGCAGGAGATGTGGGTACAGTATGACACCCGCCTGTAGTTTTTGCTGTCAAGCCACCTGCAAAGCAACGACCAAACAGAACGGACAAATCATTAGCAGCTCATCCGCACCAATTGCCCCGACCTGTCCAAGTGGAAAGACCCAATCCCGATGCTGGAATTTTCGTATAACAACGCACCTTCAGCAACGACCAATCAAACCTTGTTTTACCTCGATTAGGGGGCAGATCCAGTGGTACCCTCGTCAACGACACCTTAAAACCCGATACAGTGCTCTCAGCAGTTTGAGATTACCGCGACGAAGCAGTCAAGTTTACTTGCCAATCGAATACCGTCGCGAGCTACAACGCTAATAAACACGGAAGGGATTTTCCCTTTAATGCATGGTAATTGGTCCTTTTGGACATGAAATGCCTCCGGCTGCCCCAGCCAGTGAAGCTCCATCCCAAATCCGTAGGACCTTTTCGCTTCGTTAAGATGCTGACACCTTTCACAACAAAGTTGCTTCTGCCGGATGACTCGCAAATCCACGATGCATTCCACATCAGTCTCCTCTGACATTTCGTCTCACCTAAGTCGTCCGATATCGCCCGCCCCAATCTCGCGCCAAGTGTTTGGCCAGTGGCAGAATTGACACTTTAGCCGCGAAATATATTGCACCATCGCGTGCGCCTAACGACTCCAGGTTGCCATGTCGACTTCCTCCTCCGATGGGCAGATCTGTCAGAAACCAAATGATGATGTTTTACTATTGTAGATTGGGGTACATAAACTTAACCCTAACTGCTGTACCCCATATGACACGCATCACTAAAGGCTACAACATTTGACACACCTCCATAGCCTAAGTGAGAGGTGTCAAGCAAAACCAAAACTATACGGTCACAAGACCAGTCACAAAGGAACAGAGCTCAGGGTGGATCACAACGTCACCACACAGTCCGAGCACAAGCAAAAGAGCCATAAGGCTAGTCCAAGAGTTCACAGAGGTATATGCAAAGTGTACAACAGAACAAGCAAAGTCTACACAATATGAGAACATGTGTCAACGGAACCTAACTGCACATAACACCTGTGGTGGTCACAAGGCGGAAGAGCCTTGGTGAAGATGTCTGCAGCGTTGGCCTCGGACTCCACGAAGGCCAAGCGAGCCTGTCCACGCCTCTGTAACTCTCGCAAAAGAAAGTACATGATGCTGATGTGCTTCACTCTGCTCTCCAGTCGAGGCTCTTGACAGCGGAGAATCGTAGCCTTGTTGTCAATAAACAAGGTCGGTGTAGAGCTCTGCCGCTCACCAAGGTCGGTAAGCAAGAACGTCAACCAGCGCAGTTCCTGTGCAGCCATGGCTCCAGCATAGATCTCAAACTCAGCAGTAGAGGTCGAGACAGAAGAGGAACGCGTGGACCTCCACGAAACAGCTCCAGAGCCCAGGCTGAAGCAGTACTCCTGAGTAGACCTGTGTGTCTCAACGTCGTCAGCGTAAGAAGAGTCACAGTGACCAGTAAGTATGATAGGCTGTGTCCCTCCAAGTACCAGCCCCGCGCCTGATGTCGTCGCTGGGTACTTCGCCACCCTCACAGCAGCCGTCCAGTGAACAGGACGGTGTCTCCCTGGCGCAACAAAACGAGCAAGGATGCTGAGAAGGAAGGCGAGGTCCGGGCGAATACAATTCATCAGGTATATGAGGCAGCCCACAAGCTCTGTGTAAGGACCACTAGGCTCAAACGGCTCGTAAAAAAAGGGACCAGTATGTCTGTGGTCAACGGCAAGAGGTGTGCGCTGTACTGTGGAATGCTAAACCTCGAACCGCTGAAGGACCTGCTGCACCATGTGTGACTGTGGGAGAGTAATGGTGCGAGCGGCTCTGTCCCTGGTGATCTGCAGGCCTAGGTAGTGGCGCAGCTCACCAAGGTCACTGCAGGTGTGTCTCTTCAGCAGTGGCGAAAACCAGGTCGTCGACGTAGACCAGTACAAAGAACGGTGTAGAGCCACGACGAACGAACAACGACGGGCCAGCAGAAGACGGCTGGAAACCGAGGTCAGACAGGGTAGAGCGAAGGGTGTCGTGCCACTCACGAGGCGCCTGACGGAGACCATAGGCCGGTCGCCTCAGCCAGGAGGGAAAGTGCCAATGAAGGCAGAGGGACGTCGCACCCAGACCTCCTCGTGTAGGCTACCCTGAGGGAAGGCAGTGGAGAAGTCGAGAGAGTGTAACTCGTAGTTTCTCTGTGCTATGTCAAAAACCGAATGACGATGTTTAACTATTGTGGGTTGGGGTACATAAACCTAACCCTAACTGCTGTACCCCATATGACACGCATCAATAAAGGCTACAACATTTGACACGATCGTAAGAGCGAAGATGACACGTGCGCCACCCCCGACTTGTTGCATGCCACTCGGTATCACAGGGCTCTCTCTCTTGCCGCCGCGTGCCCGGGTCAATATGGCCACCTTAGTCAAAATAAGGGGTAGTGTAATGATTTTTTTTCCTAATTCCTTATTGGTTCACTTCATACACATACATCCAAACTTTCGGAAGACAAGACTTGGTCCGACGACCTTGCCAGCGTCCCTCACGTCGCCTTCGGGTTTGACAACCCAGAACCAGCACCTAACCTTCGCGATCCCGCGGATCCCACCTAGCTAGCCTTTCGCTATATCTGTGCTAGCTGTAACTTGTACCCACTTCCGTGTTATTGCATTCTGTGCATACTCTTCTTTCACAACTCATAACAACAAAGGTGCAGATGAATATTTCTGTACGCGGTACTGAGTATGGTGTAGTTTGGGTGACGATTCCGCTTCCACCACATCCACCGCCATCCCGTCTGTCCCCCGCAAACAGCTTCTGCTCTGCCCTGCGAGCTTTCTCCGCGCATCCTTCCAGCTTTCACCCATGATCCCATCACTGCTCTGAGAGCTGCGCAGGCCAGTCAGACTGGTCAGCACGACCAGATTGTCACCTCTATCTCAATTTCAAGACTTATACTGACCGCCACAATTCGCGGCGGTGCTGTTCAAATTGTTCCTGATGGCACTGCTTCGCGCATCGCGAAGCTCACTCGCCTGCTTCCCGCAAGCACTCGCCATCGCAGTCGTCGCATTTGTGTTGTTCGCAATCGGCTCGCTCGCGGCCGCTCATCCGTCAATTCGCGGCGTCGCCCCTCAAGGCAAGTCCATGGCGCTGCGGTCATGGTCCAAGATGACTCACAAGTCCAGCGCACGCTGCCGTCCCGCCCGCACGAGCGCGCGCGAGCGAGCGGGCGAGCGAGCGCGGGCGTAGTTGAACGTGAATGTCGCTGCAGCTTGCGTCGCGCGCATCTGTCCGCTCGCCCACTGCGCGCCGAGACCCGTGTAGCCACTTAGCCGTTTAGCCCGCAGCGACAGCGAGCGGCGGAATGAGTGGGGATCGCACGGAGTGGGGATCGCACGGAGTGGGGATCGCACGGAGTGGAGAGGCGAATCGCGGCTTCGTCAGCCGCCCAGAGATGTTCCCGCCTGTCACTCGCCTCCCTTACCCCCACCCTTTCCACCCGCTCATCTCTCCCCACTCCCCACCCCCCCCGCTTCTGCCCTTTCCCTCGCTCTCCATGTCCGCCTGCCCTGCGCCCATCTGCCCTGCCGCGCCCCGCCTCGCATGCGCCCCGCCTCGCATGCGCCCCGCCTCACGCGCGTCACGCGCGGCAGACGTGGCGTACTTCTCGGGCAGCGAGGTGCGGTGCCGCGACGGGTCGCGGTCAGTGGCAGTGCAGCGGGTGAACGACGACTTCTGTGACTGCGCTGACGGCACCGACGAGCCGGGTGGGTTGCACCCCACCTCACCACTGGGGCTCGTGAGGAGGGACCTGGTTACCAGGTTACCATGGCTCCGCGTGTGTTTCCATTCTGGCCTCCTCCCTTCACTCCTCCCTACCCCGCCCGCTTCAACCCCGTCCACCCCTCTCCACGCTGCCCTCTCTCCACCGCACCCTTGGTCCCCCTGCAGGCACGTCAGCATGCGCGCTGGCGCGCTTCTACTGCGCCAACCGCGGCCACATGCCGCTCACGCTCTTCTCCTCGCGAGTCAACGACGGCATCTGCGGTCAGTGCACTGTCATGCTCTTGTGCTGTGTCTCCATTCATCCATCCGCTGTGAAGTGATGCCCTTTGTGGCTTGGCTTGATGCCGTGTGGGTTGAGTTCATGTCTCGAGGGGCATGTTTTGAGTTGTGTGGAGCGTCAAGAGCATGAGGCTGCGTGAGTGCCTCACCTCACACTCCACCAATGCTGTGGCCTCGCCCCCCCATCCCTCTCTCTCGCCCTCCGCCCCCCCTCCCTCCCCTGCGCCCATCAGACTGCTGTGACGGGTCGGACGAGTACGCCAGCGGGGCGGGCTGCAGCAACACGTGTGTGCAGATGGGCGCCGAGACGCGCACCCAGCTGGTAGCTGACGTGGCGGCGGTGAGGGAGGGCGTGAAGCTGCGAGGCAAGGCGGTGGTGGGGCACGTGGCGCTGAGGGACAAGTGGGAGCGCGAGGTCACGGAGCTGGAGGAGCGGCGCGCACAGCTGGTGGAGCAGGAGAAGGCTCTCAAAGGTGACCCTCCGCCACTACACGCTGCTCACCTCACTGCTGCTCACATGCATCACGTGCGTGCATGTGTGCTGCGGTCTCTACCACACAAACACGGCCAAGTGCTTCGCTTGGCATGATACCGCCTGCCTGCCCTTCCCTCTCCACTCCTTCCACCACTTTCGCAATCCCCCCACCCCACAACGCAACCCAACACCGTGTCTCTTTTCCCTCTGTGCCTATCTCTTTCTGGTCTCTCGCTACGCAACGCGCCTGCCTCACTGCATCACATCCATCCGTCATCCAACCTGCCGCCCACTTGCCGTCTTGCCACGCCACCGACTCGGCACCGTCACCACCCCTCTCGCCCGCCCGTCCACCATGCTGGGCATGGCATGGCATGGCAGAGCACATCCACTCGCTTGTCGCCTCGGCCTCGCTGCCGCCGTCGCTGCTCCTCCTCGCGCTGCTCGCCCTCCTCCTCTGCCACCGCCCCCTGCGTGCGCTGCTGCTCGCCCCCCCCTGCGCCTGCCTGCGCCTGTGCCACCGCACCATGGCCTCGCTCTGCCCCTGCCTTGCCGCCCTCACGCCCACCCGCAGGCGCCACCCCCACCACCCCTCTGGGCGGCGGCGCCCTAAGCTGCTGCAGTGATGGCCGTGCTGCTGCAGTGATGGCCGTGCTGCTGCAGTGATGGCCGTGCTGCTGCAGTGATGGCCGTGCTGCTGCCGGGCCACCAGCTCTGCCAATGCTTCCATCGCCTGTGCCTGCTGCCGCTGCCCTGCTGCTCAGCCCCACGGTGTCGTCCAGTAGAATGCGCATCGGCCAATGGGGGAGAGAGAGCAGACCAGGCACAGCCATCAATGACGTACTTGCATGTGTTATAACAGCCAGCCAGCTAGCTAGCTACCTCTGTAGAAATGCAATCGCCTCTGCTAGCTGGATGTGCTAAGCTGGAACCTGGTTTGCTCATCACCTGCAATGCACTGGACTCGGAATCGCCACGTTGTAGATTCGTCGCAAATGACCTTGTATCTAAACGAGTTCAGTTCAGCCTGTTTGGCCACTATCATCGACACTGGCACCTCCGCCTTTTGTGCTTACCTGATCTGTGCCTCGCATGTCCTCTCTTTTCCTCTTGCTCCTTGCCATTGTCTACCCACTTGCCCTGCGCTCCGCACCCTTCGCTCTCCCCCCCACCCCAACCCTCGTCGTTCAAGTTATGGTCCCAGTCTTTCTCCTCCACATGTGCTCTTTTCTGTCTTCTACTCACACACACTCACTCATTCACCCTCACACCCATTCATTCCCCATTGAATACCACTCACTCTCATCGTCAATATGCTACTGTTGCACACATCTGCAACACCCCCCCACAACACCTCTCTGCTGCTGCTCCGTGTGTTTGCATGTGTGTGTGCGTGCATGCGTTTTTTACTGCGTGCACATGTGCATGCGTGTGTGCATCCGTGTGCACATATGCGCATGTGAGTCTGCGTGTGTGTGTGTGTGTGTGTGTGTGTGTGTGTGTGTGTGTGTGTTTGTGTGCGTGCGTGCGTGAGTGCATATGTGCGTGCGTGCATGCATACGTGCGTACGTGTCTGCTGTGTGCGTGCAACCATGTGAGAGTGCAGCGCGCAAGGAGGAGTTGGAGCGGCAGGAGGGGAGGGAGAAGGCGTGGAGGGCGAGGCTGGAGAGGGAGCAGCACGCCAGGGACGCCCTTGTGGCGCACACCCGCCCGCTGAGGACCACTGCTGCTTCTTCTCACGGCAGCAGCGGTGGCGGTGGTGATGGCGACAGCAGTGGTGATGAGGGTGGGGAGAGCGGTGGTGGTGGGGGAGAGGAGCAGGTGGCGGCAGAGGCCGAGGCGCTGTGGACTGGCGCCCATGGGGCTGGTGGGGCGGGTGGGGCAGATGGGGCAGATGGTGGGAACGGTGTTGATGGTGATGGCAGTTCTGTGGAGGGCGCAGGGAGTGAGGAGAAAGGACAAGGAGAGGAGGGAGCAGCAGGGGGCGAGGGGGAAGGAGGAAGCGAGGATTTTTCGGGTCTGTCAAAGGAGGAGATGGGGCGGCGGATTGCGTCCCGATGGACTGGCGGGGGGGAGGGAGGGCAGCAGCACGAGGAGCACAGCGGGCATGTGGCAGAGCACAGCGGGCATGTGGCAGAGCACAGCGGGCATGTGGCAGAGCACGCTGTGGAGGACGAGGGCTTGCCGCCCCCTGATGTGGGCTATGGTGATCCGGATGCGGTGCAGAGCGGTGATGATGATCATGATCATGACGACGACCATGACTATAGTGGCAATGACGATGATGAGTACAAGGAGGATGCTAATAACGAGGATGAGGACTACAACAAAGATGATGAGGAGGACGTGGATGGGGATGCTGAGAGTGAGGGGGAGGAGGAGGCAGCAGATCTGGAGCAAGACATGGGGGCAGGGGGAGGGGAGGCGGATGAGGGCAAGGGAGGGGCAGGGGGGGATAAAGGAGTAGGGGAGGAGGAGGATGAGGAGGAGGGCGAGGTGAGTGTGGAGGAGTTGAAGCAGCTGGAGGAGTTCAACCCAGATGACCCGCCAGGTGAGATGACCCGCCAGGTGAGATGACCCGCCAGGTGAGATGACCCGCCAGTTGAGATGACCCGCCAGGTGAGATGACACGGTGGGTGAGATGACACGGTGGGTGAGAGATGATATGGTACGTCAAGGCAAGTAATAGATGTGATAGTGTGAGGGCGATGAAGGGCCGATTCAAGAAAAGCTGATTGCATGCAGTGACACACAGCCAAGTCTGCACATGTGTGTTGTATGCGCAAGCACTCTCGTGCTTCTTCACAGAATATGGTTGCAGCGTAGCAAGGGGGCTAGATGGATAAGGTGCAATCAGCAAATCGTAGGAGAATTTATCTAGATTGTGGGGCTATTGGATGGGAAAGGAGCAGCCTGTTTCCAACACTTGTCTCTCCTGCTTTCACGTGCATGTGCCTGCTTTCTGACCATTTTCATTCAACATTCTCGCCTCCCATTCCGCTGTGCCTCTCATCCAGCCGTGACACCTGTCAGTGTCTGGTTGGCTCGCACCCTCCACTGGCCCATGGCCGTGTGTTCCCGCCTCTACTCCCTCGCTGCCCCCACGCCGCCCCTCACTCTCAACGCCTCTCGTGAGTGTCACTCTGAACGCCTCTCGTGAGTGTCACTCTGAACGCCTCTCGTGAGTGTCACTCTGAACGCCTCTCGTGAGTGTCACTCTGAACGCCTCTCGTGAGTGTCGCTCTGAACGCCTCTCGTGAGTGTCGCTCTGAACGCCTCTCGTGAGTGTCGCTCTGAACGCCTCTCGTGAGTGTCGCTCTGAACGCCTCTCGTGAGTGTCGCTCTGAACGCCTCTCGTGATTGTCGCTCTGAACGCCTCTCGTGAGTGTCGCTCTGAACGCCTCTCGTGAGTGTCGCTCTGAACGCCTCTCGTGAGTGTCGCATCAAGCTCTGCCAGCACAGCAGCACGGCACATGACAGCATGGCTTGCACATGGCACCAATGCACACCTTGCCAGAATGTGTTGTTGTGAGTGGCTTTCGACTCCCACAACTGAAGCATCGTTTTATTGCAGACTGTGTGAGTAGTGTTAATGCACAGCGCACTCCACTAGTACCTCTGTGAGTCGACACTTCACACAATTGCTTCCAAGTGCTCATGCTCTCGCCTTCTCTGTGCTTTTATTCTGCGTGCGTGCATGGGTGTGTGTGTGTGTGTACGTGTGTGTGTGTGTGTGTGCGTGTGTGCGTGCGTGCGTGTGCGTGCATGCGTGCGTGTGTGCGCGTGCGTGCGTGCGTGCGTGTGTGTGTGTGTGTGTGTGTGCACGCGCATGGGTGCATGCTTGCGTGCGGTGAGCACCCCCTTACCCCCGTCACACACCAGGCGTGGAGGCAGCTCGGGAGGAGCACAGGGGGGTGGAGGAGCAGCTGAGGAAGGCCAGGAGCCGCGCCAAGGTGGTCAAGGACAAGCTCAAGCGCGACTATGGTCAGTTGTGTTGTCACGTGCGACTATGGTCAGTTGTGTTGTCACGCGCGACTATGGTCAGTTGTGTTGTCACGTGCGACTATGGTCAGTTGTGTTGTCACGCGCGACTATGGTCAGTTGTGTTGTCACGCGCGACTATGGTCAGTTGTGTTGTCACGCGCGACTATGGTCAGTTGTGTTGTCACGCGCGACTATGGTCAGTTGTGTTGTCACGCGCGATTATGGTCAGTTGTGTTGTCACGCGCGACTATGGTCAGTTGTGTTGTCACGCGCGACTATGGTCAGTTGTCTTGTCACGCGCGACTATGGTCAGTTGTGTTGTCACGCGCTACTATGGTCAGTTGTGTTGTCACGCGCGACTATGGTCAGTTGGCACGCGCGTGACCGGGCGTGGGAGGTGTGGGGGGAAGTGCGTTGGTTTCTTGTGCAACCTGACACCTCACCTCCATGCACTGCTGCCGACACCACACGTACCCCCCTCCCCCTGCTGTCTGCTCCTGTGGGCTGCTGTTTCTGCGTCCTCTTACTTGCAGCAATGAAGGCGCTCATGGTTCAGGAAGTGGAACAGAGGGGACACAACGTGCCTCTACTCCTCAGAACCAGACTTTGCTCTTTCATCCCCTTCACACCCCCTCGTTCCCTTCACGTGCTCCCATCCCCATGTGCCCCCCATCCCCATGTGCCCCCCGTCCCCATGTGCCCCCCATCCCCATGTGCCCCCCGTCCCCATGTGCCCCCCCCGTTCCCATGTGTTCCCCATCCCTGTATGTTCCCTCATCCCATGTGCTCCTCATCCATGTGCCCCTCATCCCATGTGCCCCTTCGCAGGGCCACACGGGGAGTTCTCCAACCTGGTGGACCGCTGCTTCTCCTTCAACGCCAACCAGTGCGACGCCCTCCCCTTGCCTTGCACGCCTGCCTTGCATGCCTGCCTTGCATGCCTGCCTTGCATGCGTCCCCTATGTGTTCTTTGGTCTGTCTTCAACACTTTCCCACTGATTTCCAACTGTTCCTCCATCGCACGCCTGCACTTGCCTGCTGCTGCGCACTGGTAACTGCGCCAACACCTTGTTTCCACCCTGGCGTTCTTGCCCGGGGGCACGGGGCGGAGCAGGTACGTATGAGATCTGCCCGTACAAGAAGGCGGTGCAGAAGGAAGGCCACTCCGAGACGACTCTTGGGTGAGTCACCTTGATGGCGCCATGGCATGGCATGGTGGCTGCAGGGCTGGGAGCATGGTGACATTTGGACGTGTGGGAATGGTAGGATATGACAATAGATCAAGAGGCGGAAGGCTGGTAGACGCTATGGGTATCAAAGTGAGACGTCTGATAACGAGTTGCCAAACTCTTCAATACAGTGTTCACCTTCCCTCCTCTCTTCACGCACCCTTCCCTACCCCTCTCTTCCCCCAACCCCTCTTTGGGCCCCCACTGAACGTGCGTGTGGCGTGGCGGGCGGGCGGGCGAGCGGGCGGGCGGGCGGGCAGGCACTTCAAGCGGTTTGAGGAGGAGCACACGGTGATGGCGTTTGAGGATGGCGAGCACTGCTGGAACGGACCAGCCAGGAGCATCAAGGTGAGCACTGCTGGAACGGACCAGCCAGGAGCATCAAGGTGAGCACTGCTGGAACGGACCAGCCAGGAGCATCAAGGTGAGCACTGCTGGAACGGACCAGCCAGGAGCATCAAGGTGAGCACTGCTGGAACGGACCAGCCAGGAGCATCAAGGTGAGCACTGCTGGAACGGACCAGCCAGGAGCATCAAGGTGAGCACTGCTGGAACGGACCAGCCAGGAGCATCAAGGTGAGCACTGCTGGAACGGACCAGCCAGGAGCATCAAGGTGAGCACTGCTGGAACGGACCAGCCAGGAGCATCAAGGTGAGCACTGCTGGAACGGACCAGCCAGGAGCATCAAGGTGAGCACTGCTGGAAAGGACCAGCCAGGAGCATCAAGGTGAGCACTGCTGGAACGGACCAGCCAGGAGCATCAAGGTGAGCACTGCTGGAACGGACCAGCCAGGAGCATCAAGGTGAGCACTGCTGGAACGGACCAGCCAGGAGCATCAAGGTGAGCACTGCTGGAACGGACCAGCCAGGAGCATCAAGGTGAGCACTGCTGGAACGGACCAGCCAGGAGCATCAAGGTGAGCACTGCTGGAACGGACCAGCCAGGAGCATCAAGGTGAGCACTGCTGGAACGGACCAGCCAGGAGCATCAAGGTGAGCACTGCTGGAACGGACCAGCCAGGAGCATCAAGGTGAGCACTGCTGGAACGGACCAGCCAGGAGCATCAAGGTGAGCACTGCTGGAACGGACCAGCCAGGAGCATCAAGGTGAGCACTGCTGGAACGGACCAGCCAGGAGCATCAAGGTGAGCATGTGAGAGCAGTTGAGCTTCATTGTGATTGTCCGAGCATCAAGACGAGCAGCAATGCATCACTCCCTCATCCTGCTCGCTCCACCCTCAACACCTGCTCTTCATCTCACCCCCTCTTCTCTCCCCCGTGCGGGGCGCACGGCCATGGCATGGCAGGTGCGGTTCAAGTGCGGGGCGGACGTGGCGGTGCTGGCAGTCGACGAGCCCAACCGCTGCGAGTCAGTCACCACTCGCCACTCTCACCCTCCTTGATCCACTCCAACTCCGCTCTACTCGCTTCCCTTCACTCACGTCCCTTCACGCACATCCCTTTACTCAAATCTCTCTGCTCAGTGTCTTCCACTCTCTCCGTCACTTTTCTTGGATGCCCCCCCCGCGCCTCTCCCCGTACCAACTCGCCCTCCCCTCTGCTCACACATGGACCCTACTCCATGACGTGGACGCGTACATGATGGGAGCCACAGAACGAGTGCATGGGAAACGAGTGGACGTTTTCCCAAACTTTTATTCGAACCATAGCTTGAATGTTTTCTCTCGTGGCACCCTCGCATCTCGCCAGCGCCATCACCATCCCCTGTGTCCCCCCCCCTCCCCCTTGGTGGTGCCATCAGGTATGCGGCCACCATGACCACGCCCTCAGTGTGCACGGAAGAAAAAGCCAAGGTGTGCCGCCCACCTCCATGTGCCCTCCTCCTGACCCCCTGCTTGCTTGGCATACCACCTTGGCATACCACCTTGGCATACCACCTTGGCATACCACCTTGGCATACCACCTTGGCATACCACCTTGGCATACCACCTTGGCATACCACCTTGGCATACCACCTTGGCATACCACCTTGTTATTGCTGTGTTTGGCCTTGTTCTTCAATCATGCCAGTCTTACCTGCTCTCCACTCCACTCCACTCGTCCATGGCTCTCACTTGTCTATTGCCCTTCATTCCTGGTTTGCGCTGTTGCATTCCGGGGCATTATCTGTCATCCCGTGACCCTTGCCCTGCTTTCTCTGCTGCTTGACCATAATACCACCTGCAATTCCGTGGTTGGCACTGCCAATGCACAATTTATTGACTCTGACCCCTCTTACACTCCCACATCTCCTGTCACAAACCATGCATCTTCCCTCACACACCCTCTCATCTCCTCAACCATTCCCTCCCCCCACACCCCATCTTTTCTTTCCGACACCCCCTCACTTCTTCCGACACGCCCTCACCCTGCAACACTCCCTCCCCTCCCCTGGGTGCAGGAGTTGGAGCAGCAGTTGGAGGCCATGCTGAGGGACATCCACCCCGCGCATGATGAGCTCTGATGCACCCCTGCCGTGCCCTGCAGGCTCTAGAGCTAGATAAGTTAAGGAGTGGTACGGTGCTGATGTTACATGAACCTGAGGAGGTGCTCCTGTACTAGTGACACTTTGTAGCGATTGAAGAAGCCCATGGAACGCAAGTCCTGGATCACACTGCAGGTGTGTCGCAGCAATTGCATGGATCACAGCAGATCCCTCTGGAGGGAGGACAGCATGTGGTGAAGCGGGAATGTGGTGAAGCAGGAATGTGGTGAAGCGGGAATGTGGTGAAGCGGGAAGCATGTAACTCACGATGGTGCCACAGACCTGTATTATGGCCCACAATATTTTTGCATTCACCAAGGACAAACAAGCCTTTATAAAACGCACTTACAGATGCATGAACAAGGGTGCAGTGGGTACAAAAGGGATCATAGCATCACCTAGCAAATACACCAGCCCCTCAACTAACAGACCCACATTCTCCCCACTTTCACTTCTCCCCCCCGGCCCCTGCCCTTGCGTCTCAGCACCCCCGCGCACCCCAGCCAGGGCTGCGAGAGCGGCCTTGGTGGGAGCGTCGCCCACCTCGTAGTCGCGCCCGCCGCCATTCCCACTGCTCACCACCACCGGCCCCACGCGCTCCGCCACCGCCCACAGCCGCCCCGCCCCACCCGCCTCCCACTCGCTGCTGTCGTCATCGTCATAACCCCCCTGGCCCAGCCCCATGTGGAAGCCGTCCAGCCCCGCCAGCCCGGCCCCCCGCTGCTGCCCGCGCTGCAGCGCCGGGAAGAAGAGTAGCAGCGATGCCTCCCTGCCCGCCGCCGCATAGGGCAGCGGCGGCGGCAGTGGGGGCACGGTGCGCACAGCGGGTACAGCTACTCGCGGGCTGGCAGCGAATCTCACCCCCCCTCCAACACGCTTCATCCTCCCCCATGCCCCTCCACCCATCCCAGCTGCGCCCCCTGCCCCTGCTGCTCCGCTTGCATGTGTGCCCCCTTCACAACCACCCTCTCCACCCTGTGCTGCCCCCTCCACCTCCCCGCCCTCCAGCAGGCGGGGCAGCAGCGCCGGGTGGTAGAGGCGCAGGTGAGGCGCCACCGCCACTGATGCTGCTTGCTGGGGGGAGAGAAAGGTGGGGAGGGGGGAGAGGCAGGCATGAGGGACATGCGGGGAAGACTGAGGCTAGGTGAGAATGAAAGCAGAAATAGAAGTTGACTGTGTCAACTGGGGCGAGATCTCTGAGAGGGTGTGCGACTAAACATGCAACAGCCCCCACAGCACTCACCTGTCACTGCCCACAGCAAACCTGCACCGCCCCCTTCCCCGCTCACCTGCACGGCCCCCTTCCCCGCTCACCTGCACGGCTCCCTTCCCCGCTCACCTGCACGGCTCCCTTCCCCGCTCACCTGCACGGCTCCCTTCCCCGCTCACCTGCACGGCGCCCCAGACCCGCCAGGCCTCTTGCTGCTTGGCAGGGGTGGGTGGCGCGGAGCAGAGCCCTGGCACGCCCATGTGCGCCTGCAGCAGCCGCACGTACAGCGGTAGGTGCGGCAGCAGCAGCACTCGCACCTGCAGGCGGTGCAGCGGGTAGGGCGGGCTCATTGGCACGATGACACGGTGGTGATGGGCGGAGAGCAGGGAGGGGAGAGTGAGGAGGGAAGGATAAGGAGAGTGCAAAACAGCATCAACAGCAGAGAGTGGGAGAGAGGAAGCCCAGGCAGTGCAGAAGCATGTCTGGAGGGACGTGGCATGTGGCATGATACGAGCAGGCATGATACGAGCAGGCATGGCGCACCACGGTGGGCCCCAGCGCAGTGAGAGCGCGGATGGCGCCGAAGTGTTGAGGCAGCGAGCGCTTGGGGTCCAGCAAGGTGTGCAGCAAGGTGCGCGTCAACCGAGGCTGCAACGACACGTAGGCTCGGCCGAACCTGGACGACAAGCATACAGTCGATGCATGAGAACAATCAAAGAGCGCCAATAAGGAAATAAGAGAAAGGCGGTGGAGAACACATAAAGGCCCGGGTGATGGGAGTGGTGGTGGCACATGGTGGAGGTGTGAGGTGACCTGTGGCAGATGAGCGCGAGCAGGCTGACCTGTGGCAGATGAGCGCGAGCAGCGTGGCGGTGAAGGCCCGTAGCCGCCAGTGGGCGTGGTGCTGCCGCTCGCCCAGACGCTTGGCCACCACACATGTCACCATGGCTGGCATCAGCTGGTGCAGCTGGTAGTTTGGGAGGGAGGGGGGGGGGAGGGGGGGAAGGTGGAGTGAGGGAGGGAAGGGAGAGAATTGCCACCACAGAAACAAGTGCATGCAACCATGGAGCATGGAGGTTCATGTGCGCGCACTGACTCACGTATGGCTCCATGACTCACGTATGACTCCATGACTCACGTATGGCTCCATGACTCACGTACGTATGGCTCCATGACTCACGTACGTATGGCTCCATGACTCACGTACGTATGGCTCCATGACTCACGTATGGCTCCATGACTCACGTACGTATGGCTCCATGACTCACGTACGTATGGCTCCATGACTCACGTACGTATGGCTCCATGACTCACGTACGTATGGCTCCATGACTCACGTACGTATGGCTCCATGACTCACGTACGTATGGCTCCATGTGGAGGTGCGGGTTGAGCAGCAGCGCCCTGGCGAGGCGCATGAGGCTGCCCAGCAGCAAGCAGTCGTCCAGCGAGCGCATCACCTGGGGTTTGAGGGAATGAGATGAGGAGACGAGACGATGGCACGGCGTGATGAAAACGGGGAAACGTAGCAATAGTTGGGCGTGTGCGAGGAGGCGATGAGAGAATGCGGATGCAGAGTAGAGAGCAGGGAGGATTGGTTCCACGAGAAAGTGGGATGTGCCCAACACGACACATGATGCATTCCAGCACTTGAGCTGGTTGTGTGATGGAGCACATGCACTCAAGGTGGGGAAAAGAGGCGGTGCAGCGCATTGCAATGCAGTGCAGGGGGGCGAGACTGGCCTCGTCAGCAATGAAGTGCACAAAGTAGGGCAGCAGCGCGTGCAGCCCCGCATCCACCGCCACACTGCGCAGCGCGTGCCACAGCACACTCTGCTGTTGCTGCTGCTGCTGCCCCCCTGCAGTGGCAGCAGCGGAGGCGGCGGGGGCAGGGGGGCGGGCAGTGAGCAGCACGAGCTCGGTGACGCGCTCGAAGTAGAGCTGGCCGGGTAGGGCGCGTGGGGAGGGGGGGCGGTGCGGGGGAGAAGGCAGAGTGGGAGCTGTTAAAGAGAGGGCTGGAGAAAGAATGCAAAGGAGTGAGCAACATGAACCAGGACGAGACAAAGCGACCAAGGGAATGCAAAAGGAGGGGCTTCCTGGGTGTCTGTGTGCAGGGCTGAACTGACCAATGGAAAAAATGCGGGAGTTGAGCAAAACAGGGAAGCGTAGGAAACAGGGATGGTAACGAGAATCGATGTGCAAAGGGAGGCGGGGTGCATGTGAGAGGCAGGAGGAGGGACGGAGGGCGAGGGCGGCACCTGCAGCTCCTTGGAGAGCACGTGCTTACCTGCAGCTCCTTGGAGAGCACGTGCTTCACCGGCAGCTTCACCTCCACCACCTCCCCCCCGCCTGCCCCCCCACCTGCCCCTCCCCCTGCTCGCTGTGCGCCGCCCTCTGCTGCCCGCCCCCCCTCCGCCTTCACTGCTGCTGCCGGCATGCCTGCGGGCCACAGGGCGGGAGGGGGGACGAAGCATGTGAGGGTGGGTGGGTGGCAGTGACGGGCAGGCAGCGGAGTGCTGCGCACACGGCAGCTGAGGCACAGTGCTGGTGAGGGAGCCGTGCATGGCATGGGATGGGACGCACGGCCCTTCAAAGGGGATGTGCATACTTGCACGGACCACATGGCACCCTCGCCTCGCCTTGCCTGGCCACGCCTTGCCTGGCCTCGCCTTGCCTGGCCTCGCTCAGTGAGCCACTCACCCCACCCCTCCCACACTACAGCCGCTGTGCTGCGTCGTCATGGTCCCCCACCGCACCTGCGTTGGTCCCTTAACCACTCAGCCCTCTCCCAACCCAGCAGCACCACCAACCCCATCGCCCCATGCCACACCGCATCCCACCACTGTACATCCCCTTCCCTCTCCCCCCCCCCCCCCACCTGCGGGCGGGGCGTTCTCAGGGGTGGCGGGCATGGTGCCGTCCACGGCCAGCCAGTGCGGCGCCACACTCACGTCCGCCGGGGCGCACGGCAGCCCCGCCTCCACCACCTGTGATGTCAGGCACCGCGCACCGGGGGCAGGGGGACAGGGGGGGCGCCCAGGCTCGCACGTGGTGAGACGCGTGGCGCGGCCAGGCATGCGGAGAGCGATGGTGCGGGCAGTGGAAGGAAGGGACAGCACAGGACAAGTGCCGTTGCCGAGAAGCTTCAGCTCAGTTGGTGCATGGCAAGTGGAAAGCACAAGGCGCGGCAGGCATGGCAGCGGCATGGTGACAGTCCATGTGCGACAGGTGAGCAAGTGAGCGGTGTGTGCAAGTGACAGGGCGACCTGGGAGAGCGGCAGCGTGGGGTCGTGCAGGAAGACGACGTCGCTGTGCCCCAGTGCCCGCCGGAACCGCACGCTGTCCGCCGCTGCCAGCCCAAACAGCGGCTGCCACGCCCCGGAGGAGGGGTAGGAAGAGGAAGGGGGGGGGAGATGAGGGAGGTGAATGCAGAGGAGTGGAGGGCGTGCGAGAGTGCCATGTGTGGGGAGGGGAGGAGTGCTGGCCAGGGGCAGCATGCGTGCGAGGCAGCAGCACACCTGACAGCAGCGGGGCTCACCTCGACGTTCCGCAGGCTGAGGGCGGCCGCGATGTCCGCCGTGGTGAGAGTGGTGCGCCGGCTGTGCCGCATGCACTTCACCGCCTCCTGCGCACCACACGGCGGGCGGGCGTGGTATGGTGGGCGGGGATGGCTTAGTGAGTGAGCCTAGGGAGACAGAGGAGCGAGGAAACGGGAGCAGCGGTTGTGAGAGGTCTACGCTGAGCGATGCTGGGAGTCGCCTGCGACTATGCGACGGCTGCGAGTACGCGCGCATGCGACCTCGCCCCGCACCCGCGCCGTTGTGCTACTTCCTCCCCCACCCACGCGGTCCCGCCCACCCACGGCCCCACCCTTGCCCATGCGGCCGTGCCTGGATAATCTCGCGCATGCGGTACTCCACGTCAGGCGCCAGCGCGGCAGCCACGTCATCGCCGAGACTCGCGATGCCGATGCTGTGCGCCGCCACTTGCACGCTCTCCCGCGGCACCATGCTCATCGCGCCCGCCGCCCGCCACCCGCCGCCCCTTGCTGCTAGCCACGCGCTGCTCGTCGCCCTCGACCGCCACTAGCAGTGGCCCCTCTAGAACTGGTCGCCGCGCTCAGGTCAAACAGTGTTAGTCACTATGCTGCACGCTATTTAGGTTTTGTTCTGATAACACACACTACCCGATTATGCTTCTACTGAGGCGCTACGGTATCACGAGGAAATGCATTTTCCTTGCGGAAAATGTGCAAATGTGTTACGGTGCAATGGAACGAGAAAACGAGTACAAAGTATGAGGGTAGGCATGAGCGAATACTTACACGAGAACAAGCAAACGGTAACGCGGTGCGTGCGAGCTAGCTAGTGCTAGGCTGGCATCGAGGTTCAGGCTAGTCCCGAAGCGGCCGACTCGACCGGGCCAGAGGTGCATGGTTTGGTGAAACAGTGCACGCGAAGTTGGCGAAGCACCGTTAGTAGTAACGGGCGAACAACGGTTGCTGCTATGCGCGATGTTGAAGAACGCGGTAAGGAATGTCGGGAAAATTCCTTACACTACCCCCCCTGCGGAGATAACTCTATCAACGGGAGCTAGAGTACAAGCTAGGCACGGGATAGGAGGGATCTCTGCGTTCGTTCCTTAGTCGTTTACTTGTGCTTGCACTACTTGCTGGTTCACGGGGAAAGTCGGCAAGAGTTTCACTTGCAAAAGTTCACAACAATGGTACAATCAAGTTGGCAAGACAAGACTACATCAGAGCTAGCATGCAAGCAGGTCGACTACCAGCGCTGTTAGAATGGACTAAGCTACTAGCGGAAGCTTTAGTAGTCTTAGAACCTCCTCCTAAAGCCTAGGAATCTTAGGAGCCCACTTGGGCATGAACCATGCTAGAACCAAAGTGGTTTCCAAGAAGTGAAGTTCCAACAAGAGAGAACCCTAACCTATAGGGTTTGGGAGGTGGTCCACTCTACAGAGTGTACACCACAATTTCTCCCAACCCAACCAATGTATTCTACACTACTATAGTGTAGATGCATCACTACATATGTTTATCGGAGCAACCCGAATTAACCTTAATTCCAACACCCCCCCTTACTCCAATAAGCATTAAAGTTCACCCATAAATCAAAACACAACCCCTCCAGCGAATGAAGCCTTGGCCTTCGCAGCCATCACTCGCATGCCGATGCGCTCCAGGTTCTCATGCAGCTGCAAGCTTGGAAGAGCTTTGGTGAGCATGTCGGCATCCTGGAGGTGGGAATGTACTGAGTGCACCTCGACCTCCTGCTGGCGCACCGCATCCCGTACAAAGTGCCATGCCACCTTAATGTGCTTGGTGCGCTGATGGAGAACGGGATTGTGGGCAAGGGAGACAGCAGCCTCATTATCACAGAGCAATGGAATAGCCCCCCCATCCCCCACATGCATCTCTGCCAACAAACTCCTCAACCAAATGGCCTCCTTGACCCCCTCCGATAGGGCTTTGTACTCAGCTTCAGAAACGCTTGATGCGACACTGTCTTGCTTTTTGTTATACCAGCTGATTGCTCCTCCTCCCAGCTTAAAGATGTAGGCAGAGCGACTCTTGCCATCAGTCTCACCACCCCAATCCGAGTCTGTGTACCCAACAATCTGCTCACCACCTTGGCGCTCATACCTGATGACACGATCAGCTGTGTCGACCAAGTACCTGAGTGCTCTCAGTGCAGCGCGCATGTGAATGCGTCTTGGTGCCACGCAGGACTGTGCAAGGGTGTTGACAGTGAAAGACATGTCAGGACGGGTGGTCACAGCAACATACATCAAGCTGCCAATGAGACTCTGGTACACCTTGACATCAGCTGCAACACCTTCCTCAGGCGACCAAGTACCATTTCTGATCTTAGAGAGATCATTGGGTGACATTGGAGTATGCACCCTATGGGTCTCCTTCATCAGATCACCAAACCAGGGCCTCAATTATCAGGATAATTTATTCTGATTCTCCTGAACTTAGGATAGGTGTCGTACGCTAGTCCTGGAAAAACAGCATAACAGGAATAATTGTCCTGTAATTTCAGTATAACGGTTATTTTGCGTACTGAAAACTCAGGATAAGGCTGTAGGTTCAGCCCTGATGAGTCAGGATAGTGTCGAATCTCGCTTTGAAGCGAGATGTACTGTACGAAAAATCTCCTGGGTTTCGGGGCCTAAAATATTTATGGGCGAGCACCTCAAATATTGGAGCCAGCAGGAATCGAGCAGAAGACCTATTGCGTAACGCATTGTCGTTTCACCCGCTACCACACTTCACCTATTACGAAATGTTGCACAGAGTTTACAGGATACAAACAAATGTAGAACTGGCATTTCAGGATACCTCACCCTGTGCAGCCCTGACAATTCAGGGCAAATTCTGATTTCCTAAAAACTGCCCTGAGGCCTCAGTGTACCCCCAAACGAATCTGAGGCCCTGCACCAAACCTTCCCTGGAGACCACGAACATACTTCTCCTGACCAATCTCCAACCACCCATCCTTGACCGACCTGCGAACCTCCACACCAAGGTACGTGGATACCTCACCTAGATCCTTCATCTGGTACCTCTGAGCAAGCACCTCCTTGACCTGACCGATCAGCTCCAAGCGTGGAGACACGAGCAAGAGGTCATCCACATATACCAATACATACACTGGCTCTTTATCCACAAACCTGATGTACAGAGCCTCATCACATGCACTGCGGTCAAACCCTGCTGCAATCAGGGTGGTACCAATCTCCTCATTCCAAGCACGAGGCGCTTGCTTGAGCCCATAGAGAGCTTTGCGCAAGCGATACACCCTACGTGTACCATCATCAAATCTCTCAGGTTGCCTCACATACACCTCCTCTTGAAGGACTGCATTGAGGTAAGCATGATCAACATCCTCCTGTTGTACATGCCACCCTTTTACCGCGGCTTCTGCAAGAAGCACCCGACCTGAGGTGAGCTTGCCCACATGGGCAAATACCTGATCATAGTCCTTCTCGGGCTCCTGAGTGTACCCCTTAGCAACAAGGCGAACCTTGTGCTGTACCACCTTATCCTCCTTGTCAGTTTTCCTGCGGAAAACGTACCTGACCCCAATGGCCTTCTTACCTGGAGGTAAGTCGACCGGCTCTGGATCCCATACACCCATAGTGCGCATTGCATTTACCTCCTTCTCAGCGCCTGCCTTCCACGCAGGGCCCTCAGGGCCACGCAGGGCATCAGCGAGTGTGCGTGGGACATCACCGGTGCTCACACCTGCCAGTGCAACACCTTCCACCTCCCTGGCCAAACACAGCATGCCCTCAACCACACCAGCATCCCCCCCTACCTCCTCACCACCTGTACCAGACTGGATACCAAGCACCTGCAAACCCGTAACCGGTGGTGGGGAGGTAGTCGCTGGTGACGGAGGGGCACCCGTAGAGAGAGGGACAGAGAGCTGACCAGAGGAGGAGGAAGAGGAAGTAGCCTATGTAGCGGATCTCCGCTGAATGACCGAGGGGCCACTGAGCTGCTGCAGAGGGGTGGGCAGCTGCTGCACCGACACACTCAGCGGTGCCGGTGGCAGTGATGAAGGTGGCATCTCAACGTCGTCAGCCGTTGCTGAGGGTGGCGAGAGTGGAAGAGGGAGGAGTTGGGAAATCGCAGCTGCATCCTGCAGAAGCTCCCCAAATCCCTTTGTCTTGTCCCAATCCTTCCACATCACATTCTCAAGAAAATCAACATCCCGAGCAATGCGAATGCGCATGAGAGAAGGGTCCAGCATGCGCCAACCCTTGCTCTCCATGTCCACCCCAACACAGACACACATGACAGCCCGTGCATCAAACTTGCCACCCTTCTCATGCCCGTGCAGCATGACACTCCCCATGCAACCCCAAATCCGAGCCATGCCCACATGCGGCTTCTGGCCGGACCACGCCTCCATTGGTGTGATGGAGGCAGGCAAAGCACTGTGGGTGACCCTGTTCTTAACCCATACGACCCACATCAATGCTTCACCCCACAAGCGAGCAGGGAGACCACTGTCGACCAACAATGTGCGAATCCCCTCTGCCATCGTCCTGTGCCACCTCTCCACGACCCCATTCTGCTGCGGTGTATCTGCGACGCTCAATTGAGTTTTAATGCCAAACTCCGCCTTCCATGCTTTTACAGCTTCCCCCAAGAACTCGCCACCCCTGTCCGAGCGAACAGCCTTCAGCTTCCCCCCACACTCCAACTCCACGTCCTTATGCCACTGGCGAAGGACTTTTGCAACTGTGGCCGATTCCTTGTTGGGGAGGGGGAACGACCAAACTCGTCTGGTGAAGTCGTCAATGAGACTGAGGACATACACCGCTCCTCCCAGTGACGGTGTGTGCACTGGCCCCCACAAATCCATGTGGACCTCATCCAAAGGCCCAAGCGCCCGAGACGCCTCATGGGGAAACGGCTTCCGAGCCGACTTTCCCAATAAGCAAGGCTCACATGGGGAGCAATCAGTGCTCCCCCCCCCCAATCTCCAAGCCCAGTACACTGTTCCCCCGAGCCATCTGTTGCAATATTGTGGGGGCGGTATGACCAAGGTGGCGATGGGCAAGGGTCAATGGGGAAAATGAGGAGGAGGACCCAGCTGCAAGAGCACTGCCTTGTGTGCCCCGAGCAAGAGGAAGAAACATCCGCACCAATCCATGGTCCCTTCCCCTCTCCTTTTCTCCAATCGCCAACACCCGCTCCCCCCGTTTAAGGACACATTTCTTGCCCTTGAATGTGACAATGACATCTCGAGAGGTGAGGTGTGGGACTGACAGCAGACGCGTGTGCATCTCAGGCACAAGGTGGACCTTTTGAATCCTCAGCAGCTGACCTCCAGCACCAACCACTGGCACCTCACCCATGCCAACAGCTTTCACCACCCTTCCATCTCCCAATCTAACTCCCCGAACCTCTGGTGGCTGAAGCTTACTTTTGAAATCTGACTCATAAGGAGTAAAGTTGTGGCTGACCCCACTGTCAATCCACCACCCCTCTCGCGGCTGCTCCTCTCCCACTGCTGCAACTGCCTCTCCAACCACTGCCTCTGCCTTGTCATCCTGCTCCTCCTCATCCGCCACCTGTGCCTTGCCGTTGGACCCACGACCCCCCCGCTTTAAGAATGTCGAAATGCCTCCCTTAGGTCGATGAGGACATCGCTGCCATGCATGTCCCTCATCCCAACAGCCATGACACAACCCCCGAGGAGCCATGCCGAGGAGCCATGACCCCCAGGGGAAATCAAGCATTCCCGCTTTGCCTTTCCCTTGACCCCATCTGCCCGAGTTGGTGTCACTGCTGCTATCGCTGCCTCCATGCTTTCCTCCCTTGTCTCAATTTCCCCTGCCGCTGCTGCCCACTTTCGTACCCGCTCCAAAGGTGGCTACACCATCCGATCTTGGTGCGACACCAATCCGCATCTCCTCGCTCCTCAAGGAGGTAAGCAGCTGATCCTTAGTGAGTGATGATGACTGGTTGTTCAGCACCACCTTCAGCATCTCAAAGTGAGGAGGTAGTCCTTTGAGTACCCTCATCATCCACTCCTCAACCTCCTCCTTCCCTCCTGCAGCCAAGTACTTGGACCTCAAGTCCTCGGCACGCGCCCAGTATGCAGCCACCCCCTCCCCCTCTTTCATCTTCAATGAGGAGAGCTCCTCAGAGAGTGCCATCCGATTACACAATCCACGCTGAAGGTAGAACTCCTTCACTCGTGTGTATGCCGCTGCTGTGCCTACAGGAACCCGGGTGACTGCTCTTGCTCCGCCATCAACAGGTGTGCTGCCCAACTCGGTCTTGCCGCTGAACTCCCGTACCAAGCGAATCAGCTCATCTGGCACCAAGGCATTGCAAAATTGGGCGAATGCCTTCTGATTTTTTCTCTCCCACTTCAGCCGTGCGTCACCCGTTGCAGGTCGCTCCTCCGAGCCGTCAAAGTACCCCCATAGATCGTGCGCCTCTGCCCATTGTTCGAATCGGAAGCTCCTAGTCCAATAGTCGCTCCCATCAAACTTTGGCGCACTCTTCAGCTTCCCTTCGCCTGAGTCGTGATCCATTTGTGGCGCAGGCACTGAAGATTGACGTTGAGGTGGTGGTGGAGGCAACGGCGGTGGCGGTGAAGACGATGCGGGCAGATTCACCCCCTCTTGGGTTTTGGAGCGTAACTCCGCGCTCAAACCTCCGAATGATAAGCCGTTAGATTCTGAAGAATCCTCGCTCCGAGCCCGTTCCAATGATGTATCGCGCTACGGGATCCCACGTCCGAGCTGTCCGCTTAAAGCCGGCGGCCCAAATTGTTCATGCTTTTAAAAGTTGACCAGAGGGAGTTTTTCTGGTGTGGGCTTTGGCGAGAGTTTCCGATTTCGTCTAGGTTCGTTTTTTTCGCGAGACCCAGCCAACCCTCGGTTTTCCCCCTGGTGAGTGAATCTGTCTTCGAAAGTCCCAAATTGCAGGTGCGTGACTTTCAAAAGCTTGGACACTCAACTTCGTCAAGTTTTAAAAACTTGACCCTCGCGGCCCGCAATTTGGGACGCGGGCTTTAAACTCGTCGAAGTTGGCCGAGTTTCCGTCGACGAAGACTCAACCGTTTCGCCCAATTTTTGGCTTGTTGGATGCGCCCTGGTGTCCTCTCTTGGTGTCCGCCCTCCAATTTCTTTTCCACGCTTTAAATCGTCCCCGATTTGCAATTTTCCAATTCGGCCGCCAGCAGTTTTTCGCGAATTTCGTCCGATCCGCTCGTCGATTGGTGACGACTCCGAGGCAATTGTTGTAGATCGTGCTGAGACCTTTCCAACGGTGTGCTGCGCGTCTTGATCGACCAAAGTTGACTGAACGCCTCTGTGAATGGATGTCGCTCTTCTCGTCCTCCCGAACGGATCCACACGATTTCCAGCAGTTTTCTTCTCTCCTCCTCCCTTCCCACGTCCAGAGTCCGCCACTGTGCAATTTCGGCAGCCCTTCGGGAGGGATGGAAGCTAAATAGCTTCCACCAAGATATTATGGTCCGATGTCTTGAGTAACTCCTATTCCAACAGATTGCTAGGCCTTCCTAGCTCTGATACCATGTTAGAATGGACTAAGCTACTACCGGAAGCTTTAGTAGTCTTAGAACCTCCTCCTAAAGCCTAGGAATCTTAGGAGCCCACTTGGGCATGAACCATGCTAGAACCAAAGTGGTTTCCAAGAAGTGAAGTTCCAACAAGAGAGAACCCTAACCTATAGGGTTTGGGAGGTCGTCCACTCTATAGAGTGTACACCACAAGTTCTCCCAACCCAACCAATGTATTCTACACTACTATAGTGTAGATGTATCACTACATATGTTTATTGGAGCAACACGAATTACCCCCCCTGCGGAGATAACTCTATTAACGGGAGCTAGAGTACAAGCTAGGCACGGGGTAGGAGGGATCTCTGCGTTCGTTCCTTAGTTGTTTACTTGTGCTTGCACTACTTGCTGGTTCACGGGGAAAGTCGGCAAGAGTTTCACTTGCAAAAGTTCACAACAATGGTACAATCAAGTTGGCAAGACAAGACTACATCAGAGCTAGCATGCAAGCAGGTCGACTACCAGCGCAGCATGGTAGACAGCGTTCCAGCACGACTTGGTCGACTGCGCTCCAGCAGTACAAAGTTGCGGCTTGCCAACACTGCAAGTCGACGGCGTGCCAATGTTGCATCTGCAGAACAGCAACGCACCTGCTTCGCAGGTGCTCGCAGATGATTGGCGCGCCGTGCCTTGTCACATGCACAGCGCACACACCAAATCAACCTAGCGCTGGCGACTGCATCTGATCAGCCACGTCGACCGAGATCGGCCTCGCCACTAACACATGGGCGACTGTCGCGTGCCTCCGCAGAACTTCGTCGCCTGGGTAACTTGGTCGACCTGGAAACCACCAGGTCGGCGTCGACTTCTTCGAAGAAAGTCGACCAGAAGTTGCATGTGCTCGTCGATTTCCCAAGTCGACGACCACCAGCCGACTTCTCCAAGTCGGCCACTACCTAGGTCGGCGCCCCCCAAGTCGGCGCCTCTCTTCTTCGTGCCCGTCGACCGCCCAGGTCGACGACCACCACCTGGTCGACCAGACCAAGTCGACCACACCCCTGATCGACCAATTCCAGGTCGGCCAACCCTGTTGTCAGCCGACCACACCAAGTCGGCTTCACCAGGTCGGCGTCACCAAGTCGACGCCCTGTTAGGTTGACCTCCCAAGTCGACCTCCTGAATTCGGCGCCCTCCCAAGTCGGCGCCCTCCCAAGTCGGCGCCCACTACTGCAGGTCGGTTGCACCTCCCGCATACCCGACCACGAAGTCGGCTCTGCCCAAGCGAGGACGGGGCCAACAAACAACTCCCGTTGAGACTCCCCTACTGCGTTCACGCTTGGGCCCCCATCCCTCACGGTAGCACTCCTTAGAGAATAGCTCGTCGACGTGCACCCAACACACAGCACGCTGGTCACCGCACCAGCCATGCAAGAGGGCATGGCACCTCCTGCTGCACGTCCTCGTCGCCGTCGCCCACGTCGGCCAAGCGCACCTGGCCGATTACGACGGAGCACCGGTTGAAGGCCGGATAGTGCAGCGCCTTCGTCAGGAAGTCGGCCGGCTACTGAGCGGTCGGGATGCACTTTAGCGAAAACTTCCCGCGCTTCACCATGTGCTGCAGCCAGGCCTGTCGCAGCTCCATATGCTTGAGGTTGCCCGTCAACCCCATGCCCTTGGCAACCGTGATGGCCGACTTGTTGTCCACCCGAAGGACGGTCGGCTTCCCCGGCATCCAGCTGCCAGAACTTTGCAAGAAGGAAGCGAAGGCGGCGTCCCTCCTTGCCGGCTTCCGTGGCCGCCACGTACTCCGACTCGGTCGACGACAATGTCGCACACTTGATGCGCTGGCTCGACCAGGAGAGCGCAACCCCTCCGTAGATGAACACATAGCCGCCCGTGCTCGTCCTCTTCTGCTTGTCGCCGGCGTCGCCGGCGTCCACGTAGCCGACCAGCTCCAGCGACTCAGGTCCACCGCCGAACTCCAGGGCGGTGTCACGGGTGTTGGCGAGGTAGGCGAGGCAGCGGTCGCACTCGCCCCAGTGCTGGTCGCTCCTAACTGTGAGGCCGGACCCCAGCTTGCTGCAGGCAAAGGCGATGTCCGGCCTCGTCGTCGTCGCCGCGAACTGCAGCGAGCAGACCTTCTGCCAGTTCTCCTCCTCCTGGCGCTCCTGCGCCTCCTCGTCGTTGAACGTCAGCTCGGCATAGGCACCTACCGAGACCGGCGTCTTCGGGGTGCGCCCGGCCTGCTCCTCATCGAGGAACCGTCTACGCAACTTGTCGGCGTAGCCCTGCTGGTGAAGCCACAGCTTCCTTGCCGGCCTGTCGCGCACGATCTCCAACCTGAGGTACTTCTGCACCGGCGAGATCTCGCGCAGCTCGAAGGTGGCCTCCAGCAGCTCCTTCAGCTCCCTCATCATCTCGGCACTACTGCTGGCAGCAAGCAAGTCGTCGACGTAGACCAGCACCCAGCAGGCCACCTTGTCGTCACCGACCTTGAAGTAGAGTGCCGTGTCGACCTGGCTCTTCTTCCAGCCAGCGCCGACCAGCACGTCGTTGAGAGCCAAGTACCACAGCAGCGGCGACTGCTTCAGCCCGTAGAGGCTCTTCAGCAGCTTGCACACCCATCTGGTCCCGTCATTGAAGTAGTCCGGCTGGTACATGTACAGCACCCGGTCGAGCTTGCTCTGCAGGAAGGCGTTCTTCATGTCGAGCTGCATCAGGTTGAGGTTGAGGACAGCGACGATGTTGAGGAAGATCCTCAGCGTGACGTAGCTGCTCACCGGCCCGTACGTCTTGTCGTATTCGGCGCCATACACATGAGTGAAGCCCTTCACGACCAGCCTTGCCTTCTCAAGCTCGACGGTGTCGTCGATGCGGTACTTCGTTGTCAACACCCACCGGTTCTTCATGATGTTCACTCCCAACGGGCGTTTGACCAGCTCCCACGTCCCCGTGCCGATGAGGCTGCGGATCTCCTCCTCCATGGCGGCCTTCACCGCCTTGCCCTTCCAGCTCGCCAGCGCCTCCTTCACCGTCATCGTCAAGATGTCCCAGCGGTGCTCGGAGTCGGCGTGCATGTCGGGGTCGAGCTCCGGCAGCTCCTCATCCTCCTCGGCGTCGTCGTACAGCAGGTCGTCGTTGACCTCGTCGTATGCTGTAGTGAAGGCAGCCGGTACGTAGAAGTCGGGCGGCCTTCGAATTCGGCCTGACTGTCGTGGTCCAGACTGGACCTCCACCACGTCGCTGTCAGTGGACTGCTCGGCGTCCCCTCCTTCATCCCCTGCCGACTGTCCGGTCGCCGACTGCTCTGTCGTCGGTCGCTGCTGCCTGCTCCCTTGTCAGCTGCTGCCTTGCCGCCGCTGCTCCCTTTGCCGACTTCACCACAATCGGCTGCACTTCCTCGGCCTGCACCTCCCATGCTGGCGTCGACTTCACTCTCACGTCGACTAGCTGGACGTCACGTCGGCCACCGGCGAAGCTCTTGGCCGGCGCCACATGTGACGCCACAATTCTCCCCTCATCGCCGGAGGTCGACACCGGAGGCGACCCGCGCAGGTCGGCCTCAAGGGGAGGGGCAGGAGGGACAGGGGAGGGGAAGGGAGAGGGGACGTCCTCTCCAGCAGGCTCACCGACCTCGGCGAGCAAAGGGAGTGTCGCCGTCGAGGTGTCTGTCGGCGGGGTGGTCGGCGTCCGTCCCGAGGCCGGCCCGTGCTCCGACTTCCACACCTCCAGTGACATATTCTCGTAAAACACCACGTCCGACATGGTGACCATCCGGTTGTCAGCGATGTCGAGGAGCTCCCAGCCCTTGCTCTCCTCTGACACGCCAAGGTGAAGGCCCCACTAGGCCTTCGACTTCAGTTTCCCACCAAGTTGCTGCTCGGGGACCAAGAACTGCGCCATGCAGCCCCACACCCGTGCCAGCGACAAGTCGGGCTTCTTCTCGGTCAGCAGCACGTATGGCGTCGTCCCCGGCAGCAGGTCGACCTCTCCAGGCAGTTGCGGACC